GGGGATTATTCCTTCCTGGTGAACCAGGTTGAGGGGGATTATTCCTTCCTGGTGAACCAGGTTGAGGGGGATTATTCCTTCCTGGTGAACCAGGTTGAGGGGGATTATTCCTTCCTGGTGAACCAGGTTGAGGGGGATTATTCCTTCCTGGTGAACCAGGTTGAGGGGGATTATTCCTTCCTGCCAGCTCCTATAGTGACTGGCTGAGGAGATTTCATATTCATCTGTTGGGGGTTCAGTTAACCAGGGAAGGAGAAGCAATCAGCCGACTCTGCTGCTCAGCTTCTCCTTGCATTTTAATTTGCAGCAGAGGTTCTGCCTGCAGCGCTGTCACTCAGGGCCCCCCTCCACCTTTATCTGTGCCCCCTCCAATTTGGTGTTACCTTGTCACCATGGCGATCGATGTGCCTCGGTAATGGCTGCCTGGAGAGCGGGGGCTCTGAGTGATGGAGCGTTGGTGCTGGCTTAATTCACTTCCACTGGGATCCTCGGCACCCCACCGCTCCTGCTCCTGCTCCTACCCCCACCCCCACCCCGAGCATAAATAACAACAAGCCAATTAAAACATTCAAGCTGCCTTTGTTTACACGCAGCGTCCATAATGCATATTCATTCTGCTCTCTATAAGACCATCATGCATTATAGATCAAACAATGTTTGCAGTGAAAGAAAGTTTTCTTTTTCCCAGCAGAGACTGGATGGAGACGTCCACTGCGCCTCAGTAACTGCAAATTACCATTAAAGATTTCAATTTTCTCCCTGTCACTTCACGTTTAAGTCAGAAGCTAATTTGCTCGCCTCGTGGCGAAGGGGATCAATAGATGGATTGGAGAGTGAAGGGAAGGTCGGGGTAATGCTAAAGAAAGGCTTTCACTGAATAAAAGAATCACCTAGGGGCCTCAGAACCACGGGACGGGGCCCGGCATCCGGCTCTAAAGTGGATATCTGAGATCATACAACCATTTCTGGACAATGTCACCAAAAAACTGTTTAACTTGGAAAATAAAGATATCTGAAATTTCATTTCTAAACTTGAACTAAAACAGGTATTCTAAAACTGCAGATATATTAAACCTTCACTTCTCCAGGGGCCCCTGTTATGGCCCCTCTACTGAAAACATCGAGCTAAGTCAGTTTCAGCCATAACTGATGGGATCCTCTGACCAAGTTCCTTTTTGATCTTTACATTTTTACGTTAAAAACATCAAAATAAGGTGTTTGAGGCCAGGCGCTAATTTGTTTTAGGTGCTAGTTTAAGCTAGCGCTAAAGGTGTTTTAGATGCTAGGTGAAACAATGGCTAAAAGTGTTTGAGCCAGGAGCTAATGTGTTTTAGGATCTAGCTTAAGCTATGGATAAAGGTGTTTGAGGCAGGCGCTAATGTGTTTTAGGATCTAGCTTAAACTACGCATAAAGGTGTTTGAGCCAGGCGCTAATGTGTTTTAGGATCTAGCTTAAGCTACGGATAAAGGTGTTTGAGCCAGGCGCTAATGTGTTTTTGGTGCTAGCTTAAGCTACAGATAAAGGTATTTAGGCCAGGCGCTAATGTGTTTTTGGTGCTAGCTTAAGCTACGGATAAAGGTATTTAGGCCAGGCGCTAATGTGTTTTTGGTGCCAGCTAAAGCTACAGATAAAGGTATTTAGGCAAGGCGCTAATGTGTTTTTGGTGCTAGCTTAAGCTACGGCTAAAGGTATTTAGGCCAGGCGCTAATGGGTTTTTGGTGCTAGCTTAAGCTACGGCTAAAGGTGTTTGAGCCAGGAGCTAATGTGTTTTTGGTGCTAATGTTGTAGGTGCTTTAAAGTTTCAACCCAGACTAGATTCAATGCCAGCAAACAATCCATTCTTTTCTTTCATTTATTCTTTTATTTTTTAGAAAATACTGTGATATTTTATTAAAAATGTTGCAGAAAAAGTTTGTACAGGGGTCCAGCCAGAAATAGGTCTATTATCACTTAAGGCAAAACTGCAAAGAAATAAGACAAACAAAGGATTTTAAAACTACCATAAAAACCCTTGTTATCCTGACCGGTTTCTGGACCAAATGACAAGAATATACTTTTTTTTATACAATTTATAAATGCAGCGGATTTTTTTCTTCTGAAATGTAAAGGGTGATCATTTCCTTATTTAGCTTTTATAATAATATCAATATTTACACTCATTCACTTGCTTCTGTAAACCAAAATATCACAAGTCCGGCACAATATTTTACATATTGCTAGCATTTGACAATTTGAAATATCTAACATAGATGCCTTTACAAACAGATCCAACTAATATAGATACAAAACATCACTGCCTGTTTTTATTCCTAAGGAACACACTGCTGGTTACATGGTAATGTCAGGCAGAGCCGAGGCTGCGAGACGGAAACCAAAGAAGAAGAAAAGCAACGGAAGCAGAAGAGGATGAGACCCAGTCGGCATGGAAACGCCGAGATCTTCTCTGGACCGTTAAACTGTGAACATCGAGCAAAACACACAAGACTGTAGTGAATATGATTAACCCAAGACGTCTGCACCCATGGATTGTGTTCGCGTTTTGGTCATTCTGACAAAATGAATGAAACAAAACATTATTTTTTATATATATATATATATATGTATTTATACACGGAAACCAAAAGAACAAGCCAAACCCCCAAAAAGACCAAAAGAAAAAAAAAACATCCCAGCCAAAATAAAATAATAGAAAGATCTCTTAGTTTTTCAGTCTTTTTTTAAAAACTTTTTTTTTTTATTTGCACGCATTATTATATTCCCTTTTGTTTATCTTTTGTTTTTTTGCAAAGTTTTTATAAATACATGTGAGGCTGGGTGTAGAATTCGGTGTCCTATGCAGGAAGGGTTTGGAAAAGACGAAGCTGATGTTACCTTCCTTCTGGTATCTAGCAGGATGTTAGCAGGTGCTAACCTTCTGCTTAGCTCTGCTTTAAAAAGAGTCACTCGTTTCACATTCATTCTGAATTTCTTACAAAGTTTAAGAGCAACGCTCCCTTTTTATACCCTTCAAGAATAACAAAATATCATCTTCATACGGTGTAATGTTCCCCGTATTTGCTTGGTGTCAGATTTGCGGACCCTGCTCAGCTATACCCGCGTCGTCGAGTGGCCGTGCGGCAGATTTGTACTGTTCTGGCTCCCGCCAAAAGTGTTGAAGTTGTGCAGAGGCTGCATGCCAGCCAGGGAGTTGGGGATCATGGTGATAGTGCTGGGCGTCATCAGCGGGACATCGTCGGGGGACCGGCGCAGAGTGAGCGTGTAGTCGGGGGGACATGTGAGCCGCAGCGTGTCATGGCTCTGCAGCGACTCACACTCATGGTGGTGCTCGTGCTCCAACTGCTGCTGCTTCATTTGTAAGGTCATCAACTCCTCGCTCTGCATGTGGGCCACGTCATTAGCCGTGGTCGAAGTGTTGGCCGGCGCGGAGTTGCGCTGCGGGGTGGGAATGCGGCGGTTGGACTCGTGCCGCCGCTTGTCTTTCTTGTAGTAGAGTGCTGCAAAGGCTAGGATGTTGAGGAAGAGCAGGGAGGCCCCCACGGCAATGGTGACGCTGAGCTCGGTGGAGTAGTCCCTCTTGGTCTCGATCATGACGGTGGATTCCTCTGCCAAGTCTCCGCTCTTGTGTTGGTCTGTGGATTGCTTGGTGTTGGCAGAAGGGACTCCCGGGTGGCGTGTGGTGGACGGCCAGTTGTTCTTCCCCGGGAAGCGTTTGGTGTAAGGGTACGGCGTGGTGTCCTGCGGAGGAATCTTCGTGGTAGTGGATACATACTGGAAAAACTCATTGATGTTGTGGAGATGTGGAACCAGTTCCAGCCAAAATGCGACCTTGGTGGCGCGGTAGTGGTCCCGAACCCTGGGTTTCAGGCCGATGTGAAGGTAGAGCTGGTCTTTGGGGTTGTATTTAGTCCAGGCTACTTCCTCGAATCGGTTAGGCTTGGTGTGGATGAACTTCGTATCCTGTGGAACCGGTTGGTTTGGATCCCTGAAACAGATGAAAACAAAATAGTTTTAATTCAACACATTTTGTATTTACTGACACAATGACAGAGCTCTGGAATGTTCCAACAGCAGTTAGCTTCGGCTAATAGGGGGTGTCGGTTTATGATGGTTTCGTCTACAGAACCTCAAGACCACCATTCCCACTAGGACACCACTCCCACTGGGTAACCACACCCCCAGACCACCATTCCCACTAGGACACCACTCCCACTGTGTAACCACCCACCCTGGGCCACCACTCCCACTAGACACCACTGCCTCTAGACCACCACTCCCCGTGGGCCACCACTCCCCCCCAGTCCACCACTCCCACTAAACCGCCACTCCCTCTAGACCACCATTCCCACTAGGACACCACTCCCACTGTGTAACCACACCCCCAGACCACCACTCCCACTAGGCCACCACATCCTTAGTCAACTACTCCCACTAGCCACCACTCCCTCTAGGCCATCGCTCCCACTAGACCACCACTCCCTTAGTCCACTACCACCATTCCCACTAGGACACCACTCCCACTAGGACACCACTCCCACTAGGTAACCACACCTCCTGGGCCACTACTCCCACTAGCCACCACTCCCTCTAGGCCATCGCTCCCACTAGACCACCACTCCCTTAGTCCACTACTCCCACTAGGCCCCCACTCCCATTAGACCACCACTCCCACTAGACCACCATTTCCTTTAGTCCACTACTCCCACTAGGCAACTACTCCTCCCAGGACCCACTCCCACTAGTCCACCACTGCCCCTCAATATATCAAACAATGTACATGTATATAATTAAACAATATGATAAAGACAAGGTAAACAGGCAAAAATTGGGAGAAGGATCCAAGGGTCCCTTGATGAACAGGGGCCCCCAATACATGTATAACGACCTGGGAGTTTTAGAGGTAGGTTAAATGTATTTAGGGCTACAGCAGGGACAGATGAGTACTGGTCGTAAAATCCCCCTTTCCTTTGATGTTTTTGGTGACATCAGCAACAAATGAGAGGCAACCTAAAAATCAGACTAAGACACTTTATTGGTCATTGCAAACAAAAACTGAATCCCTTCCTTAGGGGCCATGTGGGGCCAAAGTCCGTCTAAGAGGGGTTTGAACCATGCTCCGACCCCTAGATCACCGCTGCCCTGTTGTGATTGATTATGCAATGACTAAATGATGAATACAGTGCCATCAAAAACAGCAGAGTCAGTGGAAGCCATGATCAGTGCAGGATGAAGCTGAAAGCTGATAAATCAGGAAAGCTCCCTCTGCAGCAGGTACCGTTCGGCTCCCTGAGCTCTAATTTGGGTCAGGTCCAGCTGAGTCATTAATCTGTCTGTTTGAAGCTAATGTGGATCTAAGTGACTTGGGCTTCAAAGGCAGCCTCCAGGTCCTTTGTAGGCCCTCAGAGGCTCCAGTCATGTCCATTTCCATAGGACTGGTACCAGTCCTGAGAGAGATTAGACTGGGTCTGTTCAGAATAGCAGAGTTTCCGGTTCTCCTTTAATCTGGTGATGGAGCATTACACCATGAGTCCGTGTCCTATCCATGGCAGGATGGACTGACTGGGGGAGCTGGGGATCATCAGGGGGGTACCTGGACATGTTTCCATTGATTTATGGGGGGAAAATAATTTAAAAAGTAAAACTGTAAAATAAAGACAAAAATAAAACTATAAAATAAAGACATCTCATTTCCCTTTACAGTGCAAACTGCAATGTTTTAACCCACCCCTAACCGTATAGTTTGTAGATTTAAACCTGATCCTGAGTCTAAAGAGTGAGCCCATAGCTTCCTATGGAGCCTCAGCTTCGCTCAGTTGAAGGTCAGTGGATGGGTGGAGCCAGCAGCCATTAGCTGAAAGCTGGGAAACGCCACCATTTCCCCTCCAGATCAGATTCATGATCAGGTTTGGTCAGGATGAGAAAATCCATGGAATTACATTAATGGATGCAGGGAAATGTTCCTCCGAGGCTCCAGGTCAGAAATGATGTTTAAGTCAAATGAGACACTTGAACTCCTCATGAGGTCTAGAGTCTGATTCTGGATTCGGAACGTCCTTCACACGGTGCTTTGGCCATGATGGGAATCTTCCTTTGGTTTCAGAGAAATCCAAATGTCAGAGAAAAAAGATCTCTCAGGTCGTTTTTCTCTGACTGAGGAAACTTTGATTTCCATCTTTCCAAGCCTTCAGTTTTCAGCTTTCATAAAATCTGACAAACACCAGATTCTCTCGTCTGGGAATCTTTTCACTCCACATTCCAGCAAACACTCAGTCCACTTTGCAGGAAACACTCGATTCACTTTGCAGGAAATAGTCAGTACACTTTGCAGGAAATGCTCGATTCACTTTGCAGGAAACACTCGATCCACTTTGCAGGAAACAGTCGATCCACTTTGCAGGAAACAGTCGATCCACTTTGCAGGAAGCGCTCGATCCACTTTGCAGGAAGCGCTCGATCCACTTTGCAGGAAGCGCTCGATCCACTTTGCAGGCAACACTCGATCCACTTTCCAGGAAACAGTCAATTCACTTTGCAGGAAACAGTTGATCCACTTTCCAGGAAGCGCTCGATCCACTTTGCAGGAAACACTCGATCCACTTTGCAGGAAACACACAATCCACTTTGCAGGAAACAGTTGATCCACTTTCCAGGAAGCGCTCGATCCACTATGCAGGAAACAGTCGAACCACATTGCAGAAAACAGTTGATCCACTTTCATGGAAATGTTCGATCCACTTTCCAGGAAAGAGTGAGCCAGGAGCAGAACTGGACCAGAACATTCCAGTCTGCTGCAGATTCCTCCCTGCTGACCCGTCGGTCTGCTGCAGGTTGTGTTTTACCGAGGCTCCTAACAAGGCAGTGGACAGATGGAGGCAGAGCTGACGGCAGACTTCTGACGCAAAGTAATTACTCTCCAGAGATGGTCCACTGATTCTTCACAGCACAGGAATAAAACGTCCATTTAAATCTGAGAACAGTGGAGCAGACTTCAACAGTGAGTGGAAACAATCACCCAGTCCACTGGAGCCTCTTTAAACCACGCTTGGCCGTTTCATTAGCCTGTTTAGAAATCATGGCGTTTGCTTTGTGCTGATGGCCCTGAATGTTTTCACCTCTCCAAGTGAACTCCATCAGACTTGGAAAATAAATAAATGTTCTTTCTAAAACCAGACCTAAATGTTGACCTTCATCTAGAACATAGAGAGCCTGTCCTTTAAGAGTTGGATTGCATTTCTAGGTTTAGCAGCGAATCAGGAAAACCTGCAGAAACGTCAAAACATAAAACATGGCCGCTTTGCTCCGATCAGGTTAATGCCCGCTTGGTCCCGTTTAAAGCTGCAGCCGTGCCTCTTTAGAGGGGGGGTGGGGGATAGTCACCCAGCCAGGTTGGCCCTCCAGCTGGTAGCTGCAGATGGAAGCATGGCTGACATGCGGTTAGATGTCCCCAAAGGGCCGCCATCGCTGTATAACATATGTTAGGGCAGTCATCACCTCCTGCTCTGAATGACTCCTAGATAGAAGGAGCAGAAAATACTCCTCCACCTGTTTACCCAGTCCCACTCCGTCCTCTGCCTGTGAAGTTAACGTCAAGTAAACATCATTCATCAACTTTAGATCCTCCTTCTGACAGCTATTGAAGACCGACTCACAGTATTTAAATGGAGGAAATTTTTTTTTAACTCTTCTAGATTTCTGAACTCTGTGCCTCCATGTTTGCTCTTCCTGTTCCCTCGGCAGCTGGTTGCTCTGCTGTCTCTGCTGTTCTGGTTATTAAATAAACTGATCAGCACCATCAGTCTAAAGAAGGTCTAAAAATCAGGATTGCTGATTTTTAGACCTGAATAAAGGTGCTGTGAACTTTCTCTGATTTGTACAAAAAGAATGGATGGGGCCCGCTTCTATAGGTAAAGTCCGGCCCCTTAGATAGACAACGGCGCTAGAGGGTAGGCTCTGGCCCCAGAGGGTAGGCTCCAGCCCTTTAGATGGACACCGGCCCCATAGGGCAGGCTCCGGCCCCAAAGCGTAGGCTTGGGCCCTTTAGATGGACACGGGTCCAATAGGGTAGGCTCCGGCCCTTTAGATGGACACTGGCCCCATAGGGTAGGCTCCGGCCCCATTGGGTAGGCTCTGGCCTTTTAAATGGACACCGGTCCTATAGCGTAGGCTCCGGGCCTTTAGATCACAGGTGTCAAAGTGGTTCCAGAAAGGGCCGTGTGGCTGCAGGTTTTCTTTCCAACCAAGCAATAGCACACCAGACTCCAGTCATCTCATCAAGTGGGTCCAATCTGAACATGATAACTTGATGGGATGACTGGAGTCTGGTGTGCTATTGCTTGGTTAGAAAGAAAACGTGCAGCCACTCGGCACTTTCTGGAACCACTTTGACACCCCTGCTTTAGATGGACACTGGCCCGATAGGGTAGACTCCGGCCCCAAAGGGTAGGCTCTGGCCCTTTAGATGGACACTGGCCCGATAGGGCAGGCTACGGCCCCAAAGGGTAGTATCCGGCCCTTTAGATGGACACTGGCCCCATAGGGTAGGCTCCGGCCCCATAGGGTAGGCTCTGGCCCTTTAGATGGAAACTGGCCTGATAGGGCAGGCTCCGGCTCCAAAGGGTAGGCTCCAGCCCTTTAGATGGACAGCGGACCTATAGGGTAGGCTCCGGGCCTTTAGATGGACACTGGCCCCAGAGGGTAGGCTCCAGCCCTTTAGATGGACACGGGTCCAATAAGGTAGTATCCGGCCCTTTAGATGGACACTGGCCCCATAGGGTAGGCCCCGGCCCCATAGGGTAGGCTCAGGCCCTTTAGATGGACAGCGGACCTATAGGGTAGGCTCCGGCCCTTTAGATGGACACTGGCCCCATAGGGTAGGCCCCGGCCCCATAGGGTA